CTTCTGTGTGTAAAAGCGTCTGTCTGTAAAAGCGGTTGTGTGTTAAAGCGTCTGTGTGTAAAAGTCTCTGTGTAAGCGTCTGTGTGTAAAAGCCTCTGTGTGTGAAAGTGTGTGTGTGTGTAAAAGAAAAGCGTGTGTGTGTAAAAGCTTCTGTGTGTAAAAGTCTCTGTGCAAGCGTCTGTGTGTAAAAGCCTCTGTGTGTGAAACTGCGTGCGTGTGCGTAAAAGCGTGTAAAAGCCTCTGTGTGTAAAAGCGTCTGTGTGTAAAAGCGTTTGTGTGTGAAAGTGTGTGTGTGTGAAAGCATCTGCGTGTAAAAGCGTCTGTGTGTAAAAGCCTCTGTGTCAAAGTGTGTGTGTGTGTGTAAAAGAAAAGCGCGTGTGTGTGTGTGTAAAAGCGTCTGTGGGTAAAAGTGTCTGTGTGTAAAAGTGTCTGTGTGTAAAAGCGTCTGTGTGTAAAAGCGTCTGTGTGTAAAAGCCTCTGTGTAAAAGCTTCTGTGTGTAAAAGCCTCTGTGTGTGAAAGTGCGTGTGTGTGTGTAAAAGCATCTGCGTGTAAAAGCGTCTGTGTGTAAAAGTGTCTGTGTGTAAAAGCGACTGTGTGTAAAAGTGTCTGTGTGTAAAGGCTTCTGTGTGTAAAAGCGTCTGTGTGTAAAGGAGTCTGGGTGTAAAAGCTTCTGTGTGTAAAAGCTTCTGTGTAAAAGTGTCTGTGTGTAAAAGTGTCTGTATGTGAAAGCGTCTGCGTGTAAAAGCTTCTGTGTGTAAAAGTCTCTGTGTGTGAAAGTGTTGGTGTGTAAAAGCTTCTGTGTGTAAAAGCATCTACATGTAAAAGCTCCTGTGTCTAAAAGCCTCTGTGTGTGAAAATGTGTGTGTGTGTGTAAAAGAAAAGCGTGTGTGTGTGTGTAAAAGCCTCTGTGGGTAAAAGTGTCTGTGTGTAAACGTGTCTGTGTGTAAAAGCGTCTGTGTGTAAAAGCGTCCGTGTGTCAAAGTGTGTGTGTAAAAGCTGCTTGGCTAGTTGGCTGGCTGGCACGCTGGCTCGGCTGGTGGGCCTAGCTACTTGGTTCCGGATATTAGTTAAAGTAAGCGCTAAATAGAATGTAAAGGACACGTTAAAATTCTGTAAGCTGTAAGAAATCTCAAATGAAATATGCGATAGTATGACCGCATAAATGTTAGGTAGATAGCATATATGTTAGATAGAATGTTGAAAAATGGTAGACAAAGTAAGTGATAAAACTGGAAATATGTGTTAGAGGAAATATGTTAGTGTTAGATAGAATGTTAGATTGAAGGTCGGAATTTATTTGGCATAGAATGTAAAAACATTCTTCCCCAGACAGTGTGTCTACACTGAGGGGTTCTGACGGTAGATGCGAAGGTTGGTGCTTGATCAGGGTGGTCACTCTCTTCTGCGACCTGTTACCTGTAAATTTTCGTAAAAACCGCCGCGTATGAAATCTTGACATGCGTTTCGACTGCGCAGGCTCGCGCAAAGTATGTGTCCGCGTTCTGGGCATTTTTCATGTAAATTTCCGTATGAAGTGGCCCTTGTGAGATCATGACATGCGCTTCGATTTAACAGTCTCGCACAAAGTGTGGTCCGCGGGTTTGGTCTTTCATTTCATTCATTTCACTCATTTCTGTACGTCTGATTCTTCCCAATACTAAATATGTAAAGAAAAGCCGAGACGTACAGAAATAAGGTCGACTCGAGTCGACCTTATCTTCGTACGTGCGCGCGCACGTGACGAGTGAACGTGTCAACGCACGTACGTACGCTCACACGTCCGTCTACTCGTACACACACGTCCGTCCACTCGTACTTCACGCGTCCGTCCACTCGTACGCTTACACGTACGCTGGGTCGTACGCACGTCCGTCACCACGTTCATTTGCACTCGTAACCCCTACGTTCACTTTTTGCCTAGAGGCTTTAAAAACACCTTTTACGAGACTTAAAGAAAAACTAATTCATGCCATTCATTTCGTTAATTTCGTTCATTTCATTATTTTTATTCGCTTCATTCATTTCATTTCATTCATTTTATTTGGTTCATTCGTTTCATTCATCTCAGTCATTTCATGCGTTTTATGAATTTCACTCATTTTGTTCATTTCATTCGTTTCATTCATTTCATTCGTCTTATTCGTTTCATTTATTTCATTCATTTCATTCATCTCATTGATTTGTTTCATTCCATTCATTTCACTCATTTCCTTATTTCATTCATGTCATTCATTTGGTTCATTTCATTCGTTTCATTCATTTCATTCGCTTCATTCATTTCATTTAACTCATTCATTTCATCATTTCCTTCATGTCATTCGTTTCATTCGTTTCATTTCGTTCATGTGTTTCTATCTATTTCACTCATTTCAGTCATTTGATTTCTTCCATTCATTTCATCATTTCGTTCATTTCATTCATTTCATTCGTTTTATTAATTTCATTCATTTGGTTCATTTCATTTGTTTCATTCGCTTCATGCATTTCATGTCTTTCATTCATGTCATTCGTTTCATTCCGTTCATGTGTTTTATTCATTTCACTCATTTCAGTCATTTCATTTCTTTCATTCATGTCATCATTTCGTTCATTTCATTCGTTTCATTCATTTCATTCATTTGTTTCATTCATTTCATTCATTTGTTTCATTTCTACGGTTGATTCGTTTCATCCGTTTCATGCATTTCATTCATGTCATTCGTTTCATTCGGTTCATTCCCTTCATTTGTTTCATTCATTTCTCTCATTTCAGTCATTTCAATCCTTCCATTAATTTCATTAATTTAGTTTATTGCGTTCATTTTTTCAAATTTGTTTGTTTCGTTCGCTTCATTTGTTTCATTCATTTCATTTTTTAATCGTTTCTACAGACCATTTCCCCGCGAAAAACGGGAAAAATCGAAAAAAAAACATTTTTTTCTTTCTCTGCCCGAACGCACGCGTGTTTTTTTTTGTTTCTGCATACCTTTTCCCCGCGAAAAACGGGAAAATTCGAAAAAAAAATCTTTCTCTGCCCGAACGCACGCGTGTTTTTTTTGTTTCTGCATACCTTTTCCCCGCAAAAAAACGGGAAAAATCGTTTTTTTTTCTTTCTCTGCCCGCACGCACAAAAGGGTACGCGCTAGAAAAACAACGCGCGCGATCCAGCTTAGAAAGCTTCGAAAGGTTAGTTTCCGCGAGGAAAACAAAAGTTTTCCACCGGGGTTGTCCGTATGGCGAAAAACAAACAAAAAACTGTTTTTCAAAAAGGTTTGTTTTTGGAAGGAAAAAACGTTTCCTGAAAAGGTTTGTTTCCACTCGGAAAACAAACTCCGGACCCACAAGTTTAAAACAAAAGTTTGCAGGGAAACAAACAAACAAAACTACGTGGAAAAAGGTTTGTTTCCAGGGTTTCCAAACCCTTTGCGGCCAAGTTTGTTTTGAGTTTTTGGTTTTTTTTTTACAAACTTTTACTGAAAAGGTTTCTTTTGGGTCCCGAAACTTTAGTTTTGTATTGAAAACCTTTGTTTTCCTCTGGAAACGTTTGTTTCCTTCATGCAGCAGCTTTTCCCACAAGAGCCAGCTCATGAAAACCTTAGTATCAAGGGTTAAAACAAACCTTTTCCGGGGGTGAACACCTTTGTTTCATGCCCTAAAACAAACCTTATTTCCGGAAAACGTTTGTTTAAACCCCTGAAACTAACGTTTGGGGGGGCATCGCTACTGCGCCAGAGACTCCGCTCCTTCGCATGTTGAAGGAGAGCTCGGAGAGCCCACGCAAGGTCACCCGTGACCACGCCAGCCTGGCCATTGGACAAAAATGCAGTACGGTATTGTACAGTACACCCCAGCCACTGGCTTATGATATGAAAACAAATAATTTATGACAATTGGATATTGAGATATATTGAGGGGTTTCAATTGGTTTTCATTGATGTCATTGTTTGGAAAAAGCGGAGTTTGGTGTTCCGGGATTCCCCTTTTTCCGACGGCCATGCCTTCATCCCCGGAACTTCCCAGCACGACATGCCAGAGCCACAGCTGACGAAGCTTCGAGAGGGTGCAAGCTAGTGGACCAACCCAGCTGCGGTGAACCAAGAAACGGTTGCAAAATAGATGATTCACTTCTAGATCTTCTAGATAATTTGGATGTTCAACTTCCACTGTTTACTAGAGGCTCTTTGTACCAGCTGTGGCATAGCTGTGGCAGTTGTCCATCAAATCATCTGAGTGATGTCATTAACGTATTTAACTAGCCGAAAAACATTCAGATGGACCATCAAACGTGTCCTTCTACATGGTGGCTCACAGGAGCATGCTTGCAGTGTGATTTGCTTGCGCTCATCATGCGCAACATCCAGTTTTACTCGGGGTCCTCGGTCGCCCGTGACTGGCCAACTGGAATGGAAATACATGGCCAAGTTTATACCAAGTTGATTGTGTTGGATCAACCTTGAAATTATCTATAATCACCATGCACGGCTTAGTCCGGCTTAGTCAGCACCCGGAGGAGTATCACATGCCGTTCTGCAGGCGTATTGAATCCTGTAGTCGCTGATATCTTCTGATGCGGTGATCGTCACCGATCCCGTCACCGATGCCGTTCGTTTCACAGGGGGATCAATGACTGTGCACACCTGGGTTTGTCCAGCCTGGACGCAGGTGCCCGTAATGCAGGTGTTCATGGGTGGAGTGATAACTGCCGATTTGCCTATGCTGACACTGTCCTTGAAAAATTTGACGGTGTACCGCTTGGCCAGGTTGTTCACAAGGCAGTTCTGATACAGCCCCCAACACGTGTCGTAGGCATAGTGAGCCGCCAGGTCACACCCCAATGAGGTGTCACCTGGGCTCCCGCAACCGTGTCCATGCTCGGGGTAGAAGAACTTGGTTGATCCGGAGCGGTGCAAACACAAGCAACCATGAGACACTCAGACGATCAAAAGTACCTAATATGTACCTAAACGATCCTAGACACTGGTCGCAGGTGTCAAATCAGGTACTTTGATGTGTGCAATCTTTTTGCATCAAAGGCACTGGCGTCATATATCCGCCGCCAGTCCGGGGAAAATATGTCTGGGAAGTACATGATTCGACAGAGTCCACCAGAGACTTGGAGCACATCTCGGGTGAAATTCTTCGTATCCTTCCTGTCAGCGAAGGCTTGTAGCATCATGGCATCTTCAGGCTCGCCCTGCGGCGCACATCTGAGAAACTGAGGGGTATGTGGGTGGCCGTGAGGTGGGTTGACTGAGTCGAATTGATCGTTTATGTGTCTGATTCTTGACTGACATTGTCAATTTGTTTTCAATCTCATTCATGTAGACAACAAGCGCGCATGTCATTCATTCAGTCAAGCATGCACGCACTGCTTCTCTTACTCTTCTTCATTCCTTCAAAAACTCATTGTTTCGTTCCTTGCTTCCTACATCGTTTCCTTCCTTCCTATTGGTTCGTTTGTTCAATTTCGCCAGCCTGCCAGCGTGTTTTGGTGTTTGCAGAAACTATGCTTAAGGTTTGGGTCTCCTCTTGTGCGGATTGTTGTTTCGCTTACGTTGCTCTGGCTGAATGCATAGCCCTAGATAGAGTTTGGTTTGTCCTATTAGTTCCCTATCTGGAACATGTTCTATGGGTCTCCTTCCTTAGTTTGTGTTGTAGTTTTGGTTTGCTCTGATTCTAGATTGAATTCTAGTTGTAACATGGTGTAGCTATATACATAGTTATTAGTTTATTTTTGCTCTGGCTTTCATTGCATTCGAGCTGTAGCTGTAGCTATAGCATGCTATAGTTCGATCTTTGCTTTTAGATCCCCTCCTGGACGGATTGTTGCTTTTGGCTGACCTACCCAACCCCACCCAGAGAGATGGACTGTTAGGAATAATATGGGACAAAACTCTTAACAGATATAGTATGAACACAAACTCGGTAACTATGTTACATAAAATGTCCGAAATTACTAAAGACAATATTTGACGATACAACTATTGCTACATAAGCTTGTTAAACCCACGAAGTTTGTTAGGTTAGCTGAAATGCAGGAACCACAACGGCGGCAGCGGCAGCAGCGGCAGCAGCAGCAGCAGCACCACCACCACCACCACAACAACTACCCCTCAGTCTTCCCCCACGTCATTCTTGCATTTAGTTGCTCCGGCCAGCCCCTCGGACGCTGCGCTTTCCACATGTTCTCAATGTTTTTTGGAAAAAGTGAGCAAAAGCGCACTACGACACACAGTTTGTGGGCCAGACAATTTTACACCATGCTCCTTTCGCGCGATCAGGGTGTCACACCAACCAGCATTTGCGCAAACTGTTTTTTTACGCAAACGAGTTTTTACACCAACTACCCTTTACACAAGTTCACCTTTTCCACAAACTAATTTTTACACAAACAAGCTGTGGCCAAAACCAAATTTTACACAAACTACCTTTTTCACAGACTAGCCGTTCCACAAACTGGTTTTTACACCAACTACCCTTTACACAAGTTCACCTTTTCCACAAACTAATTTTTATACAAACAAGCCGTCGACAAAACCAAATTTTACACAAACTACCTTTTTCACCCACTAGCCGTTCCACAAACTGGAATTTTACACCAACTACCCTTTACACAAGTTCACCCTTTCCACAAACTACGTTTTACACAAACAAACTGTCGACAAAACCAAATTTTACACAAACTACCTTTTTCACAGACTAGCTGTTCCACAAACTGGTTTTTACACCAACTACCCTTTACACAAGTTCACCTTTTCCACAAACTACCTTTTACACAAACAAGCTGTCGACAAAACCAAATTTTACACAAACTACCTTCTTCACAGACTAGCCGTTCCACAAACTGGTTTTTACACCAACTACCCTTTACACAAATTCACCTTTTCCAAAAACTAATTTTTACACAAACAAGCTGTCGACAAAACCAAATTTTACACAAACTACCTTTTTCACAGACTAGCCGTTCCACAAACTGGTTTTTACACCAACTACCCTTTACACAAGTTCACCTTTTCCACAAACTAATTTTTACACAAACAAGCTGTCGACAAAACCAAATTTTACACAAAGTACCTTTTTCACAGACTAGCCGTTCCACAAACTGTTTTTTTCATGTTTTTTCACCAAGTAACCGTTCCACAAACTAGCTTTTACACCAACTACCCTTCACACAAGTTCACCTTTTACACATACTAATTTTTACACCAACAAGCCGTCGACAAAACCAAATTTTACACAAACTAGCTTTTTCACAGACTAGCCGTTGCACAAACTGGTTTTTACACCAACTACCCTTTACACAAGCTACCTTTTACACAAACTGACATAAACTAATTTTTACGCCAACAAGCTGACGACAAAACCAAATTTTACACAAACTAGCTTTTTCACAGACTAGCCGTTGCACAAACTGGTTTTTACACCAACTACCCTTTACACAAGCTACCTTTTACACAAACTGACATAAACTAATTTTTACGCCAACAAGCGGTCGACAAAATAAAGTTTTACACCAGCTACCTTTTTGACAGGCTAGCCGTTCCACAAACTGGTTTTTACACCAACTACCCTTTACACAAACTAGCTTTTACACAAACTGACATAAACTAATTTTGACGCCAACAAGCCGTCGACAAAATAAAGTTTTACACCAGCTACCTTTTTGACAGGCTAGCCGTTCCACAAACTGGTTTTTACACCAACTACCCTTTACACAAACTAGTTTTTACACAAACTGACATGAACAAATTTTTACGCCAACAAGCCGTCGACAAAATAAAGTTTTACACCAGCTACCTTTTTGACAGGCCAGCCGTTCCACAAACTGGTTTTTGCACCAACTACCCTTTACACAAAAGTTTTTAATTACAGAAACTGACATAAACTATTTTTTACGCGAACAAGCCGTCGACAAAATAAAGTTTTACACCAGCTACCTTTTTGACAGGCTAGCCGTTCCACAAACTGGTTTTTACACCAACTACCCTTTACACAAGCTACTTTTTTCACAAACTGACATAAACTAATTTTGACGCCAACAAGCCGTCGACAAAAAGTTTTACACCAGCTACCTTTTTGACAGGCTAGCCGTTCCACAAACTGGTTTTTACACCAACTACCCTTTACACAAACTAGCTTTTACGCAAACTGACATAAACTATGTTTTACGCCAACAAGCCGTCGACAAAATAAAGTTTTACACCAGCTACCTTTTTGACAGGCTAGCCGTTCTACAAACTGGTTTTTACACCAACTACCCTTTACTAAAACTAGCTTTTACACAAACTGACATAAACTAATTTTTACGCCAACAAGCTGACGACAAAACCAAATTTTACACAAACTAGCTTTTTCACAGACTAGCCGTTGCACAAACTGGTTTTTACACCGACTACCCTTTACACAAGCTACCTTTTACACAAACTGACATAAACTAATTAATTTTTACGCCAACAAGCCGTCGACAAAATAAAGTTTTACACCAACTACCTTTTTGACAGGCTAGCCGTTCCACAAACGGGTTTTTACACCAACTACCCTTTACACAAACTAGCTTTTACACAAACTGACATAAACTAATTTTGACGCCAACAAGCCGTCGACAAAATAAAATTTTACACCAGCTACCTTTTTGACAGGCTAGCCGTTCCACAAACTGGTTTTTACACCAACTACCCTTTACACAAACTAGCTTTTACACAAACTGACATAAACAATTTTTTACGCCAACAAGCCGTCGACAATATAAAGTTTTACACCAGCTACCTTTTTGACAGGCTAGCCGTTCCACAAGTGGGTTTTTACACCAACTACCCTTTACACAAGCTACCTTTTACACAAACTGACATACACTATGTTTTACGCCAACAAGCGGTCGACAAAATAAAGTTTTACACCAGCTACCTTTTTGACAGGCTAGCCGTTCCACAAACTGGTTTTTACACCAACTACCCTTTACTAAAACTAGCTTTTACACAAACTGACATAAACTATGTTTTACGCCAACAAGCCGTCGACAAAATAAAGTTTTACACCAGCTACCTTTTTGACAGGCTAGCCGTTCCACAAACTGGTTTTTACACCAACTACCCTTTACACAAACTAGCTTTTACACAAACTGACATAAACTAATTTTTACGCCAACAAGCCGTCGACAAAATAAAGTTTTACACCAGCTACCTTTTTGACAGGCTAGCCGTTCCACAAACTGGTTTTTACACCAACTACCCTTTACACAAACTAGCTTTTACACAAACTGACATAAACTAATTTTTACGCCAACAAGCCGTCGACAAAATAAAGTTTTACACCAGCTACCTTTTTGACAGGCTAGCCGTTCCACAAACTGGTTTTTACACCAACTACCCTTTACACAAACTAGCTTTTACACAAACTGACATAAACATTTTTCTACGCCAACAAGCCGTCGACAAAATAAAGTTTTACACCAACTACCTTTTTGACAGGCTAGCCGTTCCACAAACTGGTTTTTACACCAACTACCCTTTACACAAACTAGCTTTTACACAAACTGACATAAACTAATTTTACGCCAACAAGCCGTCGACAAAATAAAGTTTTACACCAGCTACCTTTTTGACAGGCTAGCCGTTCCACAAACTGGTTTTTACACCAACTACCCTTTACACAAACTAGCTTTTACACAAACTGACATAAACAATTTTTTACGCCAACAAGCCGTCGACAAATAAAGTTTTACACCAGCTACCTTTTTGACAGGCTAGCCGTTCCACAAACTGGTTTTTACACCAACTACCCTTTACACAACTAGCTTTTACACAAACTGACATAACTAATTTTTACGCCAACAAGCGGTCGACAAAATAAAGTTTTACACCAGCTACCTTTTTGACAGGCTAGCCGTTCCACAAACTGGTTTTTACACCAACTACCCTTTACACAAACTAGCTTTTACACAAACTGACATAAACTAATTTTTACGCCAACAAGCCGTCGACAAAATAAAGTTTTACACCAGCTACCTTTTTGACAGGCTAGCCGTTCCACAAACTGGTTTTTACACCAACTACCCTTTACACAAACTAGCTTTTACACAAACTGACATAAACTAATTTTTACGCCAACAAGCCGTCGACAAAATAAAGTTTTACACCAGCTACCTTTTTGACAGGCTAGCCGTTCCACAAACTGGTTTTTACACCAACTACCCTTTACACAAACTAGATTTTACGCAAACTGACATAAACTAATTTTTACGCCAACAAGCCGTCGACAAAATAATGTTTTACACCAGCTACCTTTTTGACAGGCTAGCCGTTCCACAAACTGGTTTTTACACCAACTACCCTTTACACAAACTAGCTTTTACACAAGCTGAATCAAACTGACATAAACTAATTTTTACGCCAACAAGCTGTCGACAAAATAAAGTTTTACACCAGCTACCTTTTTGACAGGCTAGCCGTTCCACAAATGGGTTTTTACACCAACTACCCTTTACACAAACTAGCTTTTACACAAACTGACATAAACTAATTTTTACGCCAACAAGTCGTCGACAAAATAAAGTTTTACACCAGCTACCTTTTTGACAGGCTAGCCGTTCCACAAACTGGTTTTTACACCAACTACCCTTTACACAAACTAGCTTTTACGCAAACTGACATAAACTTATTTTTCGCCAACATGCCGTCGACAAAATAAAGTTTTACACCAGCTACCTTTTTGACAGGCTAGCCGTTCCACAAACTGGTTTTTACACCAACTACCCTTTACACAAACTAGCTTTTACGATTTTACACAAACTTCATGCCCCAGGTGCCCAAGGCCCAAGCCACATGGCCGGCAAGAGGCCGAAGGCGTTTAAATCTTTTAAAATTCTGTGTCCTACTCTTCTCCAGGCCAGTCCATTCATTCATTCAAGATATCGGAAAGATTGATTTCTCACTGGATTTAGTGCTGCAGATCGACTGAGCACATTACATAAAGCAGGTACATGAAATTGATGGGATTAATTTTGTAGATTCAATAGATTAGATAGTTTGGAAATGTTTGGAGTGGGTTGGACTGGGTATTGTCTAGATTAGGGAAGGATAGAGTCGGGTAGAGGACAGTACAGAGTTGGACAGCTCACATAGAAACATTCATTGAAATTGCTGTTTGATTGGTTAGATATCCGATGGCAATTTGGGGGTGTTGAACCTTGGATGGAACTTGTGATTCAGTTAAGTTGGGTTTGGGTGAAGATATTGGATGAGACCAAACTGGGCACGGGACAAGCGGTCCTTCAAACAATCATCACGTTCACAGCTTTCATGGACTTGCGCGCGAATTGCGTGCAAAAGCAGCACTGGGAGAATGAGGCGCATCATCTGACTCCAGTCTACCAGGTTCAAATGGAAGCAACTAACCCGTCAAGATGTTTTTTCCACTTTGAGCAAAACAATTTCCAAAGATCAAACACAATGCCTTAGTGTCACAACGCTTCAACCAGTGACTCAAACGCAAAGCCGCACATATGCACAGTATCAGATGTCCAGGCGCCATTGATGCACAATTGTCTGCATGTCCCGCACAGGTGGTGATTATTTTTGACTGCACGTGCCGCCTTGTTTCTCCCATCTCAGGTCTCTTCAACGGGGGAAACCGAAAATCATCCAACTTAGGGAAACCACGTTTCACAGAGTAAATCATCCAACATGTTGGAAGAGAACATTGGCGCTCCATGCTCTTTGAAATACGCCTCGTCAGCCTCCAACATGCCTCAGATCGCAGACCAAGAAAATGCCTCAAATATGTTTAAATACATCGCCAGTCAGTCAGCCAGTCGCCTTGCCCAAGGTATGGCACAACACATCCAAAAGAATCCAAAAAGATAGGACAAAAGCTCAGGTCAAAGCCATCGAACCATGGCAGAAACTTTTTGGCGCAGTGGTCAGAGTGCACCAGGACCTGCCCCAGTTCGCCCACCTCGCGCCTGTGACTGTGCATCAATATCCGCCGACCCCTGCCTAGCCTTGGCCTAGGTGGGGCCGCCCGGGATCACCGCATGTGTGCCACATCTCCAAACTTCAAACACTCCGCTGCAGCTTTAAGCACCCTTGCCAAGGCTGCAACGCTGCAACCAAGGCCCCTCACTGTTTCTATAGGGTTTCGAAACTGCTGTGTGGCACGTTTCGGAAACCCTAGACCTTCAAGAGTTCCATACACTTTGCACGTTTGGAGTATTGCACTCTTGGGCCGTTTTGAACGTTCCCCGCCAAAATTGAAAGTTCCCAACCAAAAGTGAACAGGCCTTTCTACACCAATAGTGAAAGGTCACTATACCATTGAGCTTCGGCTACACATGTCTCATCGTAGTGTCACACAGGTAGCAATCTGGCATGCATTGTCACATGCAGGCAATTTAATGCAAGTCCTAATCTGTTTAGCATTTTGTCACCAAGTCGAACGTATGCGAATCTTTTGGTTGCTTTCACGGTTGCGCTTATTGAGCATTGAAAGCTTCGGTTGGTGAGCCCACCAAAACAATAGTTGGTGAGCCCACCAAACAAAGAAATTGCAAAATTGTTTACTTTTGCGGGTTTTTGCGTACTTTTGCAGGTTCTTTGTGTACTTGACGTTTTTTTGCGTGCGTCTTGTTTGTGGTTTAATGTTTCGTCCTGATTAGTGTAAGGCCCCCCCTCAACAATAGCTATACCTGCTATACCCTCTTTAGGGTTGTGCGCAAAAAAGGCGGCTCCCCAGGGGAAAAGAAACTACACTTAAGTAAGGATTTCAATTGGTTACAATTGAAATCTAATTAACTTTTTTTTGCCGATGAACTTGTAGTACTTGTAGTACTTGTAGTACTTGTAGTACTTGTAGTACTTGTAGTACTCGTCGTATTTGTAGTGCTTGTAGTACTTGTAGTACTTGTAGTGAGTGGGGTTTAGCATGTTGATTGCGTTACCTTTTCCACCTGAAGTTTTTTCTTAATGAACCATGCAATGCAAGAAAGAGAAATAGAAAGAAAAGAGAAAGGGAACGAGAGATAGAGAAAGAGAAAGAGAAAGAGAAAGAGAAAGAGAAAGGGCAAGGAAAGAACAGGTTGCTTTTGTAAAAGGTTTTTCTTCTCCTGGCTCCAGGATCAGCTCTGCAAAAGTTTGCTGCAATTGTGAACCCTGCAAACAAACCTACTAAAGTGAATTGGACCCTCTCATGGCCCAGTGCCTTGGAAATTTGTGGAAAGATTGTTCTTTAATCAGGGTTTAAAAAGCTGTCTGATTCTTTTGGGAAAGGTTTACACTTTGAATTTGGCACTTGCTTGTGGAAAAGGCCTACCTTTCTTCTCTTGGCTCCAGGATCAGCTCTGCTTGCTGCAATTGTGAACCCTGAGAACAAACCTACTAAAGTGAATTGGACCCTCTCATGGCCCAGTGCCTTGGAAATATGTGGAAAAATTGTTCTTTAATAAGGGTTCAATAAGCGGTCTTGTTCTTTTGGGACAGGGAGAAAAGCAATTTGTTGCAGAAAAAAATGTTCCGTTTTTCCTGAGAGCGCCTGCGAAGGGTTCTTCGTAAAAAAGCAGCCGTTATACTACATCTTCACACCCTCACATCTGCTGATCTACATCTTCACACCTTCACATCTGCTGATCTACATCTTCACACCTTCACATCTGCTGATATACATCTTCACACCCTCACATTTGCTGATCTACATCTTCACACCTTCACATCTGCTGATCTACATCTTCACACCTTCACATCTGCTGATCTACATCTTCACACCCTCACATCTGCTGATCTACATCTTCACACCTTCACATCTACTGATCTACATCTTCACACCCTCACATCTGCTGATCTACATCTTCACACCCTCACATCTGCTGATCTGCATCTTCACACCTTCACATCTGCAGATCTACTTCCTCGCACCTTCACATCTGCGGATCTTCTCTCGCTCTTCTTTCTATCTCTCTCTTAAGGCGGGGGCGGTGCCGCCGGAGCGCCACGAAACCCAACTCTTTCACATGAAATGGACGTTGGACGTCAAAAACTGAGGTAAAATTGCGAGTTTAGTTAGTCCATCGCAACCCTTTCGCACGAAATGGACGTTAGACGTCAAAAACTGAGGTAAAATTGCGAGTTTAGTTAGTCCATCGCAACCCTTTCGCACGAAATGGACGTTGGACGTCAAAAACTGAGGTAAAATTGCGAGTTTAGTTAGTCCATCGCAACCCTTTCGCACGAAATGGACGTTGGACGTCAAAAACTTAGGTAAAATTGCGGGATTAGTTAGTCCATCGCAACCCTTTCGCACGAAATGGACGTTGGACGTCAAAAACTGAGGTAAAATTGCGAGTTTAGTTAGTCCATCGCAACCCTTTCGCACGAAATGGAAGTCAGCAAATCTGAGGAAAAATTACGATTTTGAGGTGTTAATCGCAACCTTACGCACGAAATGGACGTTGGACGTCAAAAACTGCGGTAAAATTGCGATTTTGAGGTGTCAACCTTTTCGCACGAAATGGACGTTGGACGTAAAAAAATGAGGTAAAATTGCGATTTCACGGGTCCGGTCTCTGTGTCTGAAACTGGCTGTGTGTAAAGGAGTCTGTGTGTAAAAGCTTCTGTGTGTAAAGGCCTCTGTGTGTGAAAGTGTTTGTGTGTAAAAGCGTCTGCGTGTAAAAGCGTCTGTGTGTAAAAGTGTCTGTGTGTAAAAGCTTCTGTGTGTAAAAGCGTCTGTGTGTAAAAGTGTCTGTGTGTAAAAGCTTCTGTGTGTAAAAGCTTCTGTATGTAAAAGTGTCTGTGTGTAAAAGTGTCTGTGTGTGAAAGCGTCTGCGTGTAAAAGCTTCTGTGTGTAAAAGTGTGTCTGTGTGCAAATGCGTCTGTGTGTAAAAGTTTCTGTGTGTAAAAGTATCTGTGTGTAAAAGCGTCTGTGTGTAAAAGTCTCTGCGTGTGAAAGTGTCTGCATGAAAACGTGTCTGTGTGTAAAAGCGTCTGCGTGTACAAGCGTCCGTGCGTAAAAGCGTCTGTGTGTAAAGGCTTCTGTGTGTCAAAGTGTGTGTGTGTGTAAAAGTGTCTGTGTGTGAAGGTGTGTGTGTGTAAAAGAAAAGCTTCTGTGTGTAAAAGTCTCTGTGTAAGCGGCTGGTGTAAAAGCCTCTGTGTGTGAAAGCGCGCGTGTGTGTGTGTAAAAGAAAAGCGTGTGTGTGTGTAAAAGCTTCTGTGTGTAAAAGCGTCTGTCTGTAAAAGCGGTTGTGTGTTAAAGCGTCTGTGTGTAAAAGTCTCTGTGTAAGCGTCTGTGTGTAAAAGCCTCTAAAGTGTGTGTAAAAGAAACTGTGCTTTAAAAGCAAGCGTGTGTGTAAAAGCGTGTGCATGTAAAAGCGTCTGTGTGTAAAAGCCTCTGTGTGAAAGGTGTGTGTGACCACGTCCAACGAAGCTCCACCTGATTGTATGGGATACAGAGCCTGATCAGCTCTGCGTACCTGCTTCAATTTCCACCGTTTATGGCGACCGGCTAAGCCAAGTACCGGCATGTCGAATTTTCCACTTGAGGAGTCTCTACTGCACTGTTGTCGCAATCTGGATTTATTTGGTTATTTGGGTATTTACAACTGGTTCAGTTGCATCAGAACCTTCTTCAGAGCAAGGACGTAGAAAGCATACCTCGAACTGAATTTCACGATGGATCAACCAATTTCTCCTGTCAGGTTTTATTGGATTGTTTTTGCACGTGAGATGCATTCCACAACAGTAATTCGCAATGATGTTTCTGAGCAAGTGTGTCATTCCTGCTGTGTACGTCAAGTTGGCAGGAACCCTTCGGGGAAAGCCTTTCTAGGCTAACTGTGGACAGTAAAACGATGTCTGAATTTACACTTTCGAATTAGTAATTCGTCTAAGTAAAGTGAACTGCTGGCCTTTTTTCTTTTCTCACCCTGTCGTTGTCGTAGTGTTGAACAGCTGCCCGCTGCGCCTGGGATCCTCCTTTTTTGCCGCTGATCTTCATAGCTGGAAGCCACGTTAACATCCGTTTTTTCAACGTTGCTCGAGTGCTTGACAGACAAGATACATCATGACATGGATCCATGCGAAGGCTTCAGGACATGCTTTAGGTGTGGTTCCTTTTCTCTTGATGGTTTCTGGTGAGGTCAAAATTTGTGCACGTAATTCAGGGGTTGAACACTTAAGCCGTCCAGAGGGTTGTGACTTGAACTCAGGCCATTGAGCCTCACGAGGGGAAACTGCATGAGTTGTGGATGCATCCTGTCATCAACTAGTTCCCCATGGGTCCCTTTTTTCTTCCTTTTTCATGTGTTCTTGCGTTCTCCTCCCTCCAGGTAGGTTTGGCCCGTTGTGTGCTGAGGTTGTTGTAGGTTTGCGCCGTGTCAGGTTGGTTCAGGCGCTTCTGTCTTCCCCCTCCTCCGCTGGTCTTGTTCCGTTGTCCGTCGGCCTCCGTTTTTCTTTTCCCTTGCCTTTCCAGGGTTGCCCGTTTTGGGCTAGGTTTCATGTGTTGGTGTTTTCTCCTTCCCTCTTCTTTTGCGTTCCCCTCTTTGCGTCCTGGTTAAGTAACTTTCATCTCATTGTCATCTTCACCTCATTTTCATTTCCCTTCTTCATTTTCACCTCATGGTCGGGACCTTAATTTCTCACCCTCCTGCGGGAGGGTGTGTGTGTGAACCATCTGTAAAGATGTAAAACTTCTTTAGCAGGGGGACGTGGCATACAATCAGGGACCACGTCCAACGAAGCTACCTGATTGTATGGGATACAGAG